AAAGATTTACGCCACTCATTTCGGCCTCGGTTAGGTATGCGTTACAGGTCATATGCAGGTTATCAATTTCAAGCTCAAACTCGACTTCGCTGTTACTATTTATGCAACCGCCAGAGAATCCCTTCAAAATAACGGAGACTGGTTTAGCTTCGAGACCCAGGAGAGTAGCAACTTCACTCGTGAGCACATTTACTTGACTGCCCGTATCGATGTACGATTTCACGAAAGCACCGTTGATCTTTGCAGTCTATTTGTAAACATCGTTGTAGTTTTGAAGTAAATTTATTTCTTTCACACTACCTGCTTTCGGGGCAGATACGAGTGTATATCTAGGATTTGGCGGGCAACGTGGAACAATGTGACCTCCTGTGGTCCAATGGACAGTTGCGTACTAAATGTCCAATTTTCTTGCAGCGCGGACATGGATCAGTGTTAGGGTTCGCGGAAGGTTTATTTTCTATGAGGCGTGGCATATCCTTGTAGCCTCCTCTTGTATTCGTTACAGGAACTTTGTAGTCATCGAGTGCCGACAAGAAAATTTCATATAACTCGTCAGATCGTTCGCATTGGAATGCTCTCATTTGATTGTAATGCTAAAGGCAACCCTCGTATGATGCAGGACACCGTAGTGATATCTGACAATTTGCTTCTGAAGCACAAAGCAACCTTTTCTTGATAATATTTTGTCATGCTTTCAGAAGGTAGTTTTTTCTATGAAGCATTTCTTCCAGAACATGAGTGTATCAAAAGTGGTTTAAAAGATAAACAAAAACTGATTTATACTTTTATTCGGGCAGAGTGTTCCCTTACAATTATTATTATAAATGAATGCACAAAATCATCGCTCATGACTTTTATATCATTCGGTGGCTGGCGGCTACTTCACCTCTCCCGACTCGCGATTTGGCAGGGTAAGGCTCACGTCGTGGGGAAGTGACGTAATGGCTGAGCGTGGCGGGCTTGATAGCTGGCTTAATGGCTAGCTAGCGACATCTAGCGTTACAAATGCTTAATTTTTTGTTGCGGCCACACTACCTTTATTGATTTACATAAAGTAGCTAAAAATGAAGGGTTCCAGAGCAGCTATAAATTAAAAAGTATTATGTGTTTCATAAAGCAATGACTAGATGGCGGTAGTTTAACCATCAGTGAAATTTCTTAGAAGACATTGTGTCTTCAGCATGAGCATGACTATTAACATCTATTCATTATATATGTCATTACTCAATATATTAACATCTAACACATGTCGCTCGCCCGCGCTCATAGATTACTGTATATGTACTAGAGACCCGCGCTCACGCTCATGTTCGCAGCAGCTTAGGGAGGGTTGAAATGGAAGGAGACGAAAACTTTTTTCCATATCACATATTTTCTAACTTACAAGCTAACTTAACTACTGTGACAACGTGAGTACACCTACCACTGGGCTTTTCCAAAAATTAAGCCTTGGTTTTTATTTTATGTTGAATATATAAGTTAGTAAATTGAGTCATGTCTTTGAAGATGAGCTGTGATTTGCTTAGCAGGTGGTGCTGTATGATAGGTGACTTCCTGATTGGTGACTCGGTTGGCATATGTAACTCCCTCATACAATATGCTGTTCGGTCAAGCGACTAATCCGAGTCTGTATAAGAGTCACCGAGCGATAGGCTAGCTGCACACGCACAATAATATTGTCAATGCACGATTGTCAAACATTTTCATCAATATATCGTCCCGCGCACTACGCAATATTATTGGCAATTTGTCATGGTACAATCAGACTCAAGTTGTGTGTGATGCAAAGTTACAAATTCGTGACATAGATGCTCGCTGGCATGAATCAACACATGACAGTACAGTTTTTAATAACTCATTACTCCGAGCACACCTGAATAACAATGAACTAGATGGTCACCTCCTTGGAGACAGTGCATAGTCTTGTGGACGGTATATGATGACACCATTTTTTAACCCAGCTACAAATGTAGAAAAACTCTACAATGAAGCACAAATCAAGACCAGAAATACAGTTGAAAGGACATGTGGTGTGTGGAAGAGAAGATTTCCATGCCTTTCTCAAAAATTAAGGCTAAAATTGGATCATACGTTAGCTGTGATTGTTGCAAAAGCTGTGTTACACAATATAGCTCTACAGTAAAATGACACTGTAGCGATTGATTCTGCTTCGGAAGAAGATATTACGATTATTTGAAGGAAACCATTTTCGTCGTTTATTGGTAGAAAAATATTTTAGGTTGGTAAAATTTTTCTTTTGTTGATGTCTCTAAAGCTAAATTTACACAATGTTGAATGAATGAAAATAAAGCAACAGAAAAAGCAAAGGCCCCTAGACATCTAGATCTATCCTCTATTAAGAATCAAAATGCAGATGCTTTGTCATCCTTGAGGAGTAAGATTGAATGCCTAAAGGTTCTCCACTTGTGTACATTCACCAAACGAAACTGCAGCATATTTAGCTGTAAATTCAATCAGTCTTCGGTGAGGGCACGGTCTTTCCCCAGTTGAACTGACCTATTCGTGCTACAATTATAATATATCCGCAGCATGGCTACCATGTATCAATAATGTATTATGTTAATGAAAACAAATTAGAGTATGTACATTTTATTTGTATTTTTAGTAAAAATATAAAATGAAATAGAATATATAAACAAGAATTTTAATAAATAAAAACTATAACTAAATACTAATATAAAACTAAATTAATTTATTATACTTTGGCCATATAAAATATAGAGAATAGAATTTATAAACAAGTTTCAATTAATAAAAACCAAAACATTGAACAACCAATATTGAAGATTCAACATAATATGAAATTATCAAATAACAAAAACAAAAAATTTACTGGATTTTGATATAAAGTTAAAGAAAATCTTTTACAAAATGCAAAAATGGACTTAAAATTTAAAATAAGTATTTTAATTTATTATACTTTAGCCATGTAAAGATAATATAGAGAATAGAATTTAGAAACAAGAGTTATAATTAATAAAAACTAAAACATTACGAATTTTAAAAGCGACAGTAGCCTAATGGCAGGGCGCGGACCGCGAACTCAAAAAAGTCGTGGGTTGGAATCCACCATTCGACTACTGGCGTGAACCACGCGTAACACAGGCAATTGAAACTTACCACGAGTGGTTAAGGGGAATATTAGTAATGTTTATAGCATTGTTAATATTCTTTTAAAAAAATAAATAAAAATTGAAGATTCAACATCAATATGAAATTATCAAATAACAAAAACAAAAAATTTACTGGATTTTAATACAGAGTTAAAGAAAATCTTTTGCAAAATGCAAAAATGGACTTAAAATTTAAAATAAGAATTTTTATTTATTATACTTTGGCCATGTAAAAACAGAGAATATAATTTATAAACAAGAGTTTTAATTAATAAAAATCAAAACATTACCAATTGTTCTGTATATACAATGTTTCGTTCGTACTTACGTCATATATATATGACACTGGAATTCAAATCCAAATAAAAATTCCAGTATTTTATTATATCAATATGCATTTTTATTATTCTCACATCTGGTCAGTCTTTATAATCATTTTTATCAATTAATATAATTTTGGTATGCAAAATAACTTTTCGGAATACAATGTTTTGTATAGTGCCAGTTGCGAGAAAACATTTTTGTCGTAATATGTAGGCTAATTTCACCATGATAAAGTACCTATCAAAATAAATGTGGTGACCTCTCACAAGCGTTTTCTGAAAATAGACTTCACCAAGAGTATATCCTTCTTCAGTCAACTCGGGACAAGTAGTATCTACTTGGTATGGAGGCATGTCTAAGAGAATGCCTTGTGGAGCTGCCAATAAAAAAAATTCAGTACAACAGGGTTGGGCTTCCCTGGACAATGTTGCCATATTTCATACTGACCGCTAAACGGCACTATCATCTCATCAATGCTTAATTCAACAAGTTTTTCTTGTGCGTGACACCCTCACAATACAGACTGAAAAACTTGATTTGCCTTCATATCTTATTTTTTAGTTTTTCTTCGTTTGATACCTCAGTATCGAAAACTACTTTTAGACTATTTCTTATATTAAAATTTTTATTTTGTCTCGTAGCCTTTATTATAACATAACTCCCGTATTTCTTAGACCAGAATAATGCTATATTTGGTAATTTGGTAGAAGAACTAACCATCCAAATGCCAAAAAAGACTTTTAGTTCTTTAACTGTTAGACCAAAGTTGTAGCCTATTCTTAGTATATTGGTTCTATTTGTGGTAATTATCATTTCTTCCAGTATATCATCATTGATATATTGTGTAAAATAATCTTCACGTTTTCACGACTCAGTCTCAACTTTTAATTAACCGGGTTAGTAAAACGGGAATTCTAAAGGTTCAAACTGACCATTCCATGAGTCGGAGATAGACGTTCTAACTGTAACTGCTGAATGTTCCTGGTTATAGTTCCCCCCTTGTCTCTTTCTCTACTCTACTCAGATGATTGCAGAGATACATCTGATTGTGAAACTATTTACTCATCTGAAGACCTGGAAGATGAAGTACTGGATTCTTCGTCTTCTTTAGGTCCTGGTGTAAAATTCATTTTCATCAGCATCAGAGAGATCTATGTCTGATTCTTCGAAGTGTAATAAATATTCGTCATCGCATAAGGTTATACGAGTATATATGTGACAAATAATAAGTTAGTTGTCATACTGAGAACCATTGTAATACCAGTATGACATTAAAAAGTTTCTGACCTTAATGTCCACAATAATTGACCATTTGAATAAATAATCTGCTTATTAGTTACGTGAGTATGTTATTACTACAAAACAAGCATAGTAATTGTGATAAATAAAAACAAAACAATAATAATTTTCAGATAACATAGCACGTTCATCTGTGCGACGTGCCATCTTCCACGTGGCGCCTTAAAATTTTTCCGTTTTTTTTAAATTTTCTGGATTAAAATTGAAGCACTGATTCATATAACATATAAAGATGTGACAGACATGATGAAAGCTGAAGCCGCAAAATTAGGGTTGGAATATACTCAATCGAATAGATCTGACAACAACCATTGGTACAAAATAGCCAACCCGTTATTCAATATTCTATCTGCATTTAAGATGAGATATGATAAAATCAGAATAGTAGTCTCGAGAATCCCCGTAGGAAAGAAAGGAAATACCACTGACTATGTAGATATATCTCAATATGGGCTAACTCCTGCACACCATGTGCTTTTAGAGGGCTCTACCTACAAACCAGAGAGGAGATCAGCAATGGCACAAACTCTAGGACCCCTTACAGCAGTTTTGGCAGCTTACAAATCAAGAGACCCATACAGAAACAAGTGGATTGAAACTGTTAAAAGAGACTTGGTGTACATTCGTAATGCTATTAACCTGTGTAATGCAATGCAAGAGAAAAGGGCTGAAGAAATAGCGCCTGCCTTGAGTGCCTTCGCTGATGTAATATTGATTGCAGGTACAAGGAACGCGCAAAGAGCTTTCTTTCCTCTTTGCTTTATAATATATTGCCTTGGGACTGCGGACCAGCTGAAGAAATGTGAGATAACCAGAGCACATACTCCCATGGATCCTACTCAAGTGGACTTTTCAGGGAAGGGAATGTGGCTTGTATACCAACCGTGATTTAAGATGAAATAGTCCCTTGAGATCACTATGGATGATGTTTCAGCTGCACAAGTAGTGTACCATACTATATTTGGGACACAGAATGAGGACTTAGGTATGCTACAATCAATAACCAATTTTAAAACTCCCTGGAAATTAAGGTCTGAGATTGCGGACAAGTTTAGGAGTGAAGGAAAATCTCTTAAACTAGTCAACCTGCCTAAACTGAGGCTGTATGCCAAATTAGCCCAGGCTAACATGACCGGACTATTAACGGAATCTGCTTTCCAGATACGGTGCAAGCAAGTTATTGCGGGGAAGCGGACAGTAAATTACATTGAAGCTTTCTATAAACGCATGTCATCGGATGGACCTCAAACAATTCAAGGAGGCCTAACACTCCACGCACAGGCTGCATTCTACAGAAGCCTCAAGGTTGAGTTAAGTGGCGCCCTAAAGAGAGAGTCATTTGACGGGTCTAACTCAAAATGACGTTTGGTGCCGTGTTTCTAATTACTGAGGTAACACAACTACCATAAAACGATTAGTTCCAAAAATTATTCACATATAACTTTAAAACGAACTTTTAATTCTTTATGTGATATAGGTATGACGCTGGCATCCAGGAGGTTAAAACAAGAATTTTTAATAAAATTAAAATTCCTTTTTTAATTCTTTTAATTAAATTTCGTTTTTAATTCTAAATCAATTTTTGAATTTTCTAAAAGATTCCGCTTTAACTCAATATCAAGATCCAGTAAAAAATTTTATTCTAATTTCATATGTTCATTTTGAAGTTGAATCTCCAATATTTCGAAATTTTTTCGTTGATAGGGTATCTTCATTCATTTGCTTCTCGTTTTTTCTTTTTATTATTGAAGCACTGATTCATATAACATATAAAGATGTGACAGACATGATGAAAGCTGAAGCCGCAAAATTAGGACTGGAACATACTCAATCGAATAGGTCTGACCATAACCATTGGTACGGAATAGCCAACCCGCTATTCAATATTTTATCCGCATTTAAGATGAGGTATGATGAACTCAGAATAGGAGTCTCGAGAATCCCCGTAGGAAAGAAGGGAAACACCACTGACTATGTAGATATATCTCAACATGGGCTTACTCCTGCACACCATGTGCCTTTAGAGGGCTCCACCTACAAAGCAGAGAGGAGATCAGCAATGGCACAAACTCTAGGACCCCTTACAGCAGTTTTGGCAGCTTACAAATCAAGAGACCCATACAGCAACAAGTGGATTGAAGCTGTTAAAAGACACTTGGTGCACATTCCTAATGCTATTAACCTATGTAATACAATGCAAGGAAAAAGGGCTGAAGAAATGGCGCCTGCTTTGAGTGCTTTCGCTGATGTAATATTGATTGCAGGTGCAAGGAGTATGCGCAAAGAGCTTTCTTTCCTCCTTGCTTTATAATATATTGCCTTGGGACTGCGGACCAGCTGAAGAAATGTGAGATAACCAGAGCACATGCTCCCATGAATCCTACTCAAGTGGACTTTTCAGGGAAAGGAATGTGGCTTATATACCAACTGTGCTCTAAGATGAAATGGTCCCTTGAGACTGCTATGGATGATGTTTCAGCTGCACAAGTAGTGTACCATACTATATTTGAGACATAGAATGAGGACTTGGGTATGCTTCAATCAATAACCAATTTTAAAACTCCTGGAAATTAACGTCTGAGATTGCGGACAAGTTTAGGAGTGAAGGAAAATCTCTTAAACTAGTCAACCAGCCTAAACAGAGGCTGTATGCCAAATTAACCCAGGCTAACATGACTGGAATATTGACGGAATCTGCTTTCCAGATACGGTGCAAGCAAGTTATTGCGGGGAAGCGGACAGTAAATTACATTGAAGCTTTCTATAAACACATGTCATCGGATGGACCTCAAACAATTCAAGGAGGCCTAACACTCCATGCACTGGCTGCATTCTACAGAAGCCTCAAGGTTGAGTTAAGTGGCGCTTTAAAGAGAGTCATTTGATGGGTCTAACTCAAAATGACGTTTGGTGCCGTGTTTCTAATTGACTGAGGTAACACAACTACCATAAAACGATTAGTTCCGAAAACAATTCACATATAACTTTAAAACGAATTTTTAATTCTTTATGTAATATAGGTATGACGCTGGCATCCAGGAGGTTAAAACAAGAATTTTAATTAAAATTAAAATTCCTTTTTTAATTCTTTTAATTAAATTTCGTTTTTAATACTAAGTCCATTTTTAAATTTTCTAAAAGATTCTTTTTTAATTTTAAGTCCATTTTTGAATATTTTAAAAGATTCCGCTGTAACTCAATATCAAGATCCAGTAAAAATTTTTTTTTCTAATTTCATATGTTCATTTTGAAGTTGAATCTCCAATATTTCGAAAATTTTTCGTTGATAGGGTATCTTCATTCATTTGATTCTGGTTATTTCTTTTTATTATTGAAGCACTGATGCATATAAAATATAAAGATGTGACAGACATGATGAAAGCTGAAGCCGCAAAATTAGGGTTGGAATATACTCAATCGAACAGGTCTGACAACAACCATTGGTACGGAATAGCCAACCCGCTATTCAATATTCTATCTGCATTTAAGATAAGGTATGATGAAATCAGAATAGGAGTCTCGAGAATCCCCGTAGGAAAGAAGGGAAACACAACTGACTATGTAGATATATCTCAATATGGGCTAACTCCTGCACACCATGTGCTTTTAGAGGGCTCCACCTACAAACCAGAGAGGAGATCAGCAATGGCACAAACTCTAGGACCTCTTACAGCAGTTTTGGCAGCTTACAAATCAAGAGAGCCATACAGAAACATGTGGGTTGAAGCTGTTAAAAGAGACTTTGTGCACATTCCTGATGCTATTAATCTGTGTAACGCAATGCGAGGGAAAAGGGCTGAAGAAATAGCGCCTGCCTTGAGTGCCTTCGCTGATGTAATATTGATTGCAAGGAATGCGCAAAGAGCTTTCTTTCCTCTTTGCTTTATAATATATTGCCTTGGAACTGCGGGCCAGCTGAAGAAATGTGAGATAACCAGAGCACATCCTGCAGGCCAGGCCCTCTGTCGCTCTTACTACCTGCGTGAAATAATTACGTATAATCGCGAGGCAACCAGGGTCATTGAGTTATACAAAAAATCAATGCCCAGGGTAATATGCAGTCGGGGCTAGTGCGCTATAGGCGATTAAATGTAAAAGTTTTTAACGCTGTTTAGGTACATAGTTTTTTGTAAATACTTGTTGAAATAGTTTTTGTTTAGTGTTTAGTATATTTAATTGTAATATAAAATAGTTGAAAAAGTTTTAATGTAATTTAAAAATTATATATATTACCTATTTGATCAATTGTAATGGCAAAAATTCGTTCCTACTATAAATAACTGTTGCGTGGATAGATGCCAAATGACCAACAAACGGTTTCTGATATATCATTCTTTAAGTTACCGAAGGATTTTAGTAGGAAGTTATGAAAGGTGGAATTATTTCATTGTTAGGTACTAATAGCAAAAGAGAATTAAGTAATAATTTGTCTGCAGAAGTAATACCTAGTACTAAGTAATACTACTACTTTATTACAAAACTTAGTTGAAATTTACTTCACTATCCAAGTATCTACTTACATACCTATAATTGTCTTTTGTAATTAAAATATGTTGAGTTATAATAACACAAAATATTGAAATTAAAACTTTGTTCACTAACAAGATTTTTAACCAAGTAGAATACGATCACATTTCTGTTAGGAATCGTATTTGAGGTTTATTTGTTGTTTCTTCCGAGTCGTGCATCGCGATTCCCGACGAATGGCCTTTCGGGTTGCTTGCGTTGGGCATCGCAAAACTCACATAGGTGCGAATATATGGTCAGTCCATCATAGTCAGAATAGGTACTTCACCTAAGTAACTTAATTATGAGTTTGTATTGTCGTTTGTTTGGCAATGTATTTTTTACCCTTTATTGACATCCTTTAGTAACCGCGGAAAGTCAGCTGTGATGTAGGAAGGGGAAAAGATGCAAAGTAATATGGACACTCGCACACAGCGATGAAGTTTTATTTAGCTTGCGTGCGCGATTCATCTAATGTCAGCTCTACACGTTGGCCAACATAGTGGCGAATGTAGTGGCGAATATATTGGCCGAGAGTTGGTGACGGCGTCCACACGTTGGAAGGTCGTTCAGTGTACTTCGGTTCGGGCCAATGTGCGGACTAATTTATTTTATTTTAGATGACGGCTCCGTGGCGCAGTGGCTTAGCAATGAGTGGTTGTGCCGGGAGCCGCGGGTTTGAATCCCGCACGGAACAAGTATTTGTATATCCTACAAATAATTGTTTCGGGTCTGAATGTGTGTCCTTGTGCAATTTATGTTTGTAACTAAATAATAATTATGTAGGCTATTAAACGTCGGCATACAGTCAACATCAAAGGGTGAAACCTTTGTACGTAGTACTATTATTTATTCCGTGCTATTATTTTCAATGCCTTTGGTTTGTAATCTATAAAACTTTAAAAAAATGTGAAATAGAAAACCACCAAATTTTCGAGATATCACCTTAATCAGTTGATGATAACTGCTTAAAAATTCAGTTACAAAATTTTACCCTAACAAATATTGTAAGTTGAATGAAAGCTTTTCAAAACAAATGACGCTACGTGGCTACTGAAGTCAGCGGACACGTGGGTCAACTTCATGCGAAGAACGCTACAGATACGTTTGTTACATCAGAAGATTAAGATAGAATACCTCATAGCCTGTAATTGTACTGGCTCTCTAATCTCCGGCGCCTCTACACGTTGGCCAACACAGTGGCCAATGTAGTGGCCAATAGCATTGGCCATCGTGTAGACGGGGTGTTTGGGCTTCATTGGTATGTATTGGAACGATGGCCCGTAATTTGGCGCGAGATCCGTGTGGTGTCGGTTTTTTACAAAAGATCAAAGGATTGTTGGCAGAGTTTGGTCGCCGCGTCCACACGTTGGCCGCGCGTTTAGTTTGCTACGAGCTTTCAAAGTGATCGCACCTAATTAAATTTTATATTTACGTAACTAATGTTTAATAAAATGGCAGCAACAATGACCAGTGAGGAAACTTTTCGTTTTTTGGAATTATACCAAGCGGAAAATTGTTTGTGGAACCCTAAAAATAAAAATCACAAAAATAAAAACATTGTAAACCTACCTTAATCTAGTAATAATTATCTAATAACGTATGCACGTGCCTCCTATGCTGTTTTCAAAATTTCGGGGTTACATACAAAATTGTTTATTTTGTATGTAACCCCGATTACCTTGTAATCTATTAAGATATTATAAAAAATTGTATTTGTTTGTTCGTATTTTTTGCGCTGCCATACAATTCATCAGACAATGCTAAAACTTTGACATCTTATTGCTTGCACTTGCGCGAACATTATAAGCATAGTACAGTTGACTTACAGTAGGGGGCGCGTGTATCGTACCGACAAATTTATTTAAAAGCTATATAATAATCAACTTCAATTAATGTATTATGTATTATCATTCCTGATTTCACTTCTTTCATTTTTATCCGTGGTAGAGCCACGCTACAGCTATGTTATGGTTGTAGCATGAATGGGCCGGCTTGACCGGGGAAGGATGACGCTCACACAGAATACCAGCGTAAAGTAGTAACTTAATACTACTGTGTTTCGTATGGTGAGTGTAGAGATCCGGTGACCTTTTTTTTTTACTGGAATCGAGGCATTCTATCTTAGTCCTCAGGAGTGACAACGCATCTGCGTTTCGACTCTTAATTGAGGATAAATGTAGATGTCTATGGGCCACAGCTCCTCATCGCTCATCCTCTTAGGTACATCAGGTGGACTGTGCGCTCGCTTGTCATCCTTTTATATAAAAAAAATCTTTTTTTTAAAACGTTACATCAACACTACAATTTTTTCCTGTATCTTGGGGATAGTTTACAAACATAAATTGCACAAGGACAAACATCCAGATTCGGTACAATTACTAGTAGGCCATTCAAATACTTGTTCCGTGCGGAATTCGAACCCGCGGCCCTTAGCGCTGTGACTCATTGCTAAGCCACTGCACCACGAAGCCGTCAAATTAAACAATATAACTGTTTTAAATTTAAAACAATATTTATCTTATTTTTTCTTATTTCCTCGATCTGGGGGTTAGCACGTTAGTGCCCCCGCCAAGTCGAGCAAAGAAACCGTAGGTACCTACCTACCATCCTTTTCTTGAAGCAGTTCAGGCCATTTTCGACCACCTATAACTTCGTTGTGGATAAAACTAGAAGCCTGAATTTTCAGTGACTAAGAAGGCATTGTATAAACACGGTATATTTCAAATTTCGTTCAATTCGAACCAGTAGTTTAAGAATTATAACTAGTCAATTTCTTAATTTTGTCACTTACTGACTGACGGATCATCAAAACTCTAAGGCACTTCTAGCAGACAAAGAAACTTCAAATTTAGAATAAAATTATTGTTTAGTATATAAATCAAGAAAAAACTAAAATATTTTGCAATTTCGGTCCAGTTTTCTAGATAAATTAACTGCATAAATAACTTTGTAATCCCATATAAATATATAGGATTACAAAGTTACATTTGCAGTGATTGAATCAGTGTACCTGTATATGTATATTATAATGGAATAATAGGTGTAGATACGTACGTTGTTGGTATTCAAGAAGTAGAAGGTACCGAAAAGAAAGTATGACTATTTACAAAAAGAAAAGAGATGCCATCAAAAACATAACTTGTAAAAAAAACTTGGTCTCGCAACGTTCTTCTACCGTAAAAAATTGTGAGATCCATGAAATATCAAGTCGGTTAATTTATTCAGTCCCTAGCTAACCTAACAACATAATATTGTGACTATATCAATATTTAAAATCTTTTATGTTTTAAATAAATAGATTGATTTCGCAGTCGCACTAAACAATTTAATTTAATATAATATGTTTTACTTGTGAGATACATTGTGTTTTCAAACTTATTTCAGATCAACGATTCTTGGAAACGTGTTGCAGATACGATGGGTGTACCAGTGCATGAACTAAAGAAAAAAAGAGAGCTTAATGACATGCTTTCGGAATAATTTAAAAAAGAAATTATCATCGTTGAAGTCAGGTATTGGAGAAGCGGACGCGTTCAAGCCTATTTGGCAGTTTTATGAAGCGATGGAAGATACGAATGCAAAAGCAACTGCAATAGTGAAGAAAATGTAAGTAAAACAAAATTGTATATCTTTTAATTTATTATTATTATATAAAACATGACAATTTAAACGTTATAGGTGCGTCTAAGCAGTTTATGCCTGACTGTGGTTTTGTCTTTCATAAATATAATTCATAAAATTTACTCTCGTTTTGTAACACGAAAATTTTCGTGTACTTCATTTTAGCATATTTATGTTATTACATTCGATGAACGGACATCAGTGCGCCACCTAACGTCATTAGTCCGAAGTAACTAGAAACGTATATTGACGAATCGAGCTAGCTAATTACATGCAATTGACCTTTCGTGTTAGTTCGAAATCCTACCACGGATCGACGATGGCGCGTAGCCCAAGGGAGGCCTAGTTTTTTTTGGGGAGTTAGCCGTTGTAATGATCGGACACGCACACATATAATTTTTGAATCGAAACGCCGGAACATGAATTTAAAGTGACGAGTACTTGGGCGTACGGCCCCTTAAACCCAATGTCTACAGGCAGTTTAATGTGTTGAAACACATCATCCCATATTTTGGATCCTTAGTCCTTACTTTGAGTATGGTCCATTATCAAGTTTAACTATGCGAACGAGGCGAGGCAGCTTCAACTAGTGGCTATATTGGGACTGGGTGGCCTGGAGACCGCGACCGGAGTACACCTGGAGGACATCTGCTACCTCACTGCTTCGCGGGATTAACCATAAACAGTGTAATATTGTGTAATCCACCAGGTTAGTCAAAAACCTCAGTTCCCAGGGTATTTTAAAGTGACAACTTGATATTTGGAGCTATCCGTATGAACTTTAGAAGGAAATAAACTACCTTTTGTCTGTATATGTATCTTTGAGTTTTCATTTACTAATCATCCAACTACAGGTACCCTGGGATATTTTTATTTTGATACTCGAGTTTTTTAACTCTCCGATGACCGTAGCCGGTGAGTAACGCCCTAAAAAGTGTTATAAAGTGGCTACCCAACGTTGAACCTAAAGTTGCTGGATGTTAGTAGATGAATTAACCTTAATTGTAACTATTTAAGCTGTTAAAAACCCATTTAATATGAAACTTAGTGAAATTTAATGTTAACATTTTTTTGATGTAGGTAGATTTAAGTAATCTTGAAAACAAAGAAAGTTTAACTTTAATGTGATTTATATGTACTTAAATGAATTAAAACTTAACATAATAAAAATATTTGTGCTATTTTAAGTAGATATTTTTAATATCAACCGATTTAAGACTTGTTTATAACCGTCAGTACATTTTAACAAAATGTCGATCCACAAGTATATAGACTCATTACATAAAGATGAAATCAGATATGAACTCGCCATTATTGGTGTTTCCACACATGAAAATGTAACCACCGATGCATTGAGGAAGCAGATCCGCCAGGTGTACAAACTCGCACGCCGTGGAAGCATGAAGTGTGACTACTCCAGTCACCCAGTATAGCCTCTGAACTAGAGATCTGCACCCCAAAGGTCGAACTTCTGGAATCTCAGCTGCAGGCGGGTACAGTAGATGATCGCAATTTGACTCTTAAAGTGTCTCGTCGTGCAAATTATTTGATGGATAGGCTGGCTCGTATCTCTGAAAGTAGTTCGCATTTGTCAGATCTTCGTAGTCGTTTTATTCGCATTTTGAGTGTCATAGACGGTGAAGATAGCGACACGGATAATGAATACAAGGAAACCCAGACACAGCCGTCTAACCAGAAAGTGGAAAGTAACGTGATCTATGTGAAAGATAAACCTTTGAACCTAAATACATTTAACTTAAAATTTGACGGACGGACGGTGTGCACGTGTATTTATTGAACGTCTTGAGGAACTTAAAGAGGCTCGCAATATTACTGAAGCTCGCATACTTTCAGCTTTTTCTGATCTTTTAGAAAACTCTGCTTTATGTTGGTTTAGAAGTAATAAGGATAATATCCACTCATATTCACAATTATAGAAATGCTTAAGGGACGACTTTGATATTCCCGATTTAGACTATAAACTATTAAATGAAATAAGGCAGCGTAAACAGGCCAGACACGAAACGATAGTAGTCTATTTTTCCATTATGCAGGGAATGTTTTCGCGACGCGAGTTGTTGTCTACTCGACAACGGGTGAGTACCCGTTGTCGAGTAGAAAACAACTCGAAATCTTGATGCATAACATTAGACCAGAGTACATGAAAGATTTAGCTTTACATGATATAACCTCTGTAGACAAACTTAAACTTTATTGTAAACAGATATTGCGCGGTCGCTTGCGGAACAATTTAGTGAACCTAACTTGAATAACTTTAAAATTACAGCGGACTTAAATAAACAAACGCCGCGATCTCACAGTACACAAGTCTCTGGGCTGAATGAAGCTGGCTCTTCGAGGCAATTGGATAGGAAATGCTTTAGGTGTGGATTAAACACTCATTTCACTAATCAATGCAATTCGAAAGAGTTAGTGTGTTTTAAGTGTGGATTAAAAGGTGTTAAGCGTACAGATTGTAGTAATTGCAATTCAAAAAACTAGTTAACACGGAACTATCCAACGCCTTTAATAAAAATAGGTCTTATACGTCCAATAATGAAGAGGTAGTTCAGTTTAAAAAAAATACTAATGATATAAGACCATACTTAAAAATATTGAACTTACAAGCTTTTGGCTTATTGGATTCGGGTGCAACTTGTAGCATTCTTGGAAATAATGCGCATTTGATCTTTTTAGAACACGGATTTCAACTCAACCGGTTTGACCCTGAGCATTACGTAAGAACTGCAGATGGTACGAGATTGCATTGCTTAGGGTATATGTCCTTATCTATTGAATTTAACAATAATTTCAGAGTGATTAACCTTTATGTTGTTGCACAAATAACTTCACCTATAATTCTAGGTGTTGATTTTTGGCAGGTGTTTGACTTAGGGAGTGACCTTGCATCCGAAGTACAGTTTGACCGAAAGTCGGAGTTACCAATAAGTAATAGCATAAATCCGGTTTCTCTTAATAAAGGCCTTGAAGAATACGAGTCTTTATCCATAGAACAAAAACAAATCATGGATAATTTAATCCAACAGTTTGATACAATTAACACAGTTAAAGTAGGTTTGGGACGTACCAATTTAATTCATCACGTCATAGACACAGGGGATAGTAAACCTATTAAGCAAAGGTACTATCCATTATCACCTGTTAAGCAACAAGCACTTGAAAAAGAATTGGATAGAATGCTTATAGTTTGGGAGTTGTGTCACCTTCACAGTCAGCTTGGAACTCACCTTTAGTAATGGTTCAGAAGCCAAATGGGGACCTAAGGCTTTGTCTAGATTGTAGAAAATTAAATGCAGTTTCCAAACCCGATGCGTATCCTCTCCCGTATATAAGCAGCATATTGGATCAGCTCCGCGACGCGAAATACCTAACGTCAATAGATCTTTCCGCTGCGTATTGGCAAATACCCTATGATAGCGAGCAATCAGCTGATAAGACCGCGTTCACAGTGCCACGCCGGGGGTTATTTAGATTCAATGTAATGTCGTTTGGCCTTGTTTCCGCGTCAAGCACAATGCAGAGATTAATGGATAGGCTATTTGGTCCCGAATTTAACAACAAAGTATTCTGTTTCCAAGATGACATAATCATAATATCCAGCACTTTCTCAGAACATCTGCAGCTCTTGCATAAGGTCTACGCAAAACTCAGGGACGCAAACTTGACTATAAACATGGATAAGTCTATCTCTTGTCGTAGAGAACTTAAGTACTTGGGATATTTAGTTGACAAATATGGACTTAGAACTGATCCGGGAAAGGTAGATATTATATTGAATTATCCAACTCCAACTTCCGCTAAAGAGGTTAAAAGGTTTCTAGGCATGGCAGGCTGGTACAAGAGGTTCATTAACAATTTTTCGAAAATTAGTAAACCGTTGAATAAATTAACTAGCAAAAATGTCCGCTTTGAATGGACTACGGAGGCAGATGAGTCATTTAACCACTTAAAAACCGCTTTAGTGTCTGCTCCGATACTTAAATGTCCAAACTTTGAGTTGCCTTTTTCTATCCATTGTGACGCTTCCTCAGTGGCTGTGGGCGGAGTCTTAACCCAGACTTATGACGGGGTAGAACATCCCATAGCATACTGCAGTCGGTCTCTTGCCAAAAATGAAATTAATTTTTCCACATCGGAAAGAGAACTTATGGCCGTGATTTACGCATTGTAGGTACACATGTAGAAGGTACAAAGTGTAAAATAATAACCGACCACGCCTCGTTATTATGGTTTTATGTATAAATTAAATAACCCATCAGGTCGCTTAGCCAGGTGGAGCATGCGATTGAGTCAATTTGATTTCGAAATAGAACACCGAAAATGTAAATTAAATGTTATTCCAGACGCACTAAGTAGGATTCAAGTTGATGCAATCGCTACGCCGGTAACCAGTGATGCGTGGTATAGACATGTATACGAAGATTGTAAGGCGAACCCTCGCAAATATCCCCACTTCATGGTAAAAGACGATAGATTGCTTAGACACTCTAAAAATAAATATGAGTTAACGAATGAGTTTAATTGGAAGTTAGTGGTACCCGAGGAAGACAGGTTAGGTATTTTAAAGAAATGTCATGATGAACCAGTTAGTGCTCATTTGGGTGTCTTTAAAACCCACAAGCGTCTTAGTCTTAATTATTACTGGCCCAGCATGTACCGAGATGTGAAAGAATATGTTAAAAAATGCGAAATAAGTAAACAATACAAACCCGTCAACACGGCTAGACCTGGTTTAATGGGAAACCCGAAGGAGGTTAACAAACCCTGGGAGGTCATATGTTGCGATTTGCTAGGCCCATTTCCGGTTTCTCGCAGTGGAATTTTAACTTAATTGTATGTACACACTATTTTAGCAAGTATGTCATGTTGCCTCCTATACGGACCGCAACAGGCGCTGCGGTCGCTAAGTTCATAGAAGAGAAAGTGTTCCTAGTACATGGCGTATGTAAGACTATCTATATTGACAATGGCCCACAGTATATGTCTAATCAGTTTAGGCAACTGTTACATAAATATAACGTACCGAATATCTATTATAACCCGCGTTATCACCCACAGGTAAATCAAGCCGAAAGAGCGATTAGGAACGTAGTTAACGGTATATCATGTTATGTAGGTACCGAGCATAAACGATGGGACGAGAACATCCCACAGTTGCAATGCGCACTTAATTCAGCCGTGAATGATACCACTAAGTTTACTCCGTATTTTCTTGTGCACGGACGGGAATTAATAATAGATAGAATGTTACACAGCTTAGATAGCACTCGGCCAGTTCAAAGATCTCAAGTAACTCTCGGTGAACCACAAACATACAGTAAAAAATTAGCGGAATTAGACACCATATTTAAAAAGGTACAAAAGCATATTAAAAATGCTCATTCTGGAAATGAAAAGTACTATAACTTAAGAAAACGACATGTTGAGTTAAAAGTAGGTCAGATTGTATATAAACGTACCCATTACCTATCTAATGCCTCAAAGAGATTTACGGCTAAACTAGCACCAAAATTTCAAAAATGTGTCATAACAGCGAAATTATCACCTTTAGTGTATACCTTAGCCAGCATGGAACGTAAGACACTAGGTAATTTTCACATAAAAGACATACTTAAACAAGATGACTAATAGTTTTGTAGAATGTGAGTGAAGAGTATGATTGAGTGAAAGAATGTAAGAATAATAAACATTTTCAAAATTTATTTCCACCGGTGAACTTTCTGAGATAAATAAGCTGTGATTGTATTGATGAACGAGCGATACATAACTAGTAGGTCACCTTATGTTGTGAACATCGGAGCAAGTTAGATAAGAACTTGTTCTTTATGCCCGCACTCTGGACATTTTATAAGAAAATGCCTACCAGGCAGTGCGTAGCATTACTTAAGCCGTTTCTTTTAACTTAATATGATTAAACGTTAATTCACTTAACTTAATGCGAGATAGATATTAACTTAATACTTAATATGATTTCCAAATCACTTAACTTCTCAACTTAATAAACCAGAACACGTTCGTTTTTCGACTATTTAGAGAAAAGGCAAGTCGAAACGTAAACATCGTGTGTAGGCTTAGTGCACTGTAGGTATTCGTTTCTGTCCCGTGATGTTACGTCACGCACCGCATGAATGGTAATAGACTATTCGCGCGTAGGATTCGGGATGCTGCGGCTACACTAACGAGCAACGTCAATTCCCATAAACGCAACAATTATTGCCTTAAATTTAACGCGATAAAATGAGTGGCTACACTTGAACGGTCAACGTCGTTTCCCGTTGAACGGCATTAAATTTGCCGTTGAACGGCGTTAAATTTGCCGTTGAACGGCGTAAAATGTTTCGACCGGGGAAGGACCACGCTCTCACAGAATAACAGCGTAAAATAGTAGCTTAATGCTGCTGTGTTTCGTATGGTGAGTGTAGAGAACCGGAGACTCTTTTTACTGGAAACGAGGCATTCCATCTTAGTCCTCACGGGTGACAACGCATCTGCATTTTGATTCGTAATCGAGGATAGATATGTAGATGTCTATGGGCTACAGTATCCACATACCATCAGGTGGACTGTATGCTCGTTTGTCACCCTATCCTATAAAATAAAAAAAAATAAACAAAGAATACAAAGAAAAAGAAGATGGTGGATGTTACAAATGCACAGGAAACGTACACTGTAAATCTATTTATGTTTTATTCTGTTTTCCCGCACCCAAATTGCACTTGAAAGACGTCCAATGGTTTAAGCTAAATAATAAGACAAATGTAAATATATTTTAAAGAAATAATAACTAATAAGCCAATTATAAATACTGGTCAAGTGCGAATTAGATACACGTACCCAGGGTTTCGTACCACTGTACACTATGAATTTTGACCTGCAAAAATTGTTTTTTTTTCTCCTTTTAAGAAAAATAATCTTAGTTTCATACCGTGAATTAAAGTACTTTTGAAATAAATTTTTTAATTAAATCTCGAAAAGCTTTTTCATTATTCCACTCCATCGCAGCCATACGTGCAACCCCGTGGCACTCACCGTGCACAATGAGACAAACGTAGTGTGGCCGCTTCAACGCGATAATTCGCGCGTCCCTTTGATGTACCGCCACTCGAGTTATCAGCAAACGGGAAACGGCATTGTTAATGCCGTTGTCAAATTATCGCGTTAATTCGTGGCCATACCTACATTCAACGTCCATCAACGCGATAATTAACGGCATTTCTCCTTAGTGAGGCCGGGCCAGGATCGTAATTATTCATAGGTAGTTGTATTTTACTAGCAAAAAAAAAAAACATGTAGGAATAAATGTAAATAAAGTTGCATGCCATTACATTAGTATAGGTGTAACAATTAGTGTAGTATTTTCTAAATTACATCACAAGTAGGTAAATTTGTGGTAGTGTTTTTTTTGGTATCAACCACACAAGTAGGTAATTACATTTTGAGGTTAAATTGTTTAGTGGAATATAATGTTACTAGGTATACAGATACAGAAACTCGTTCAGAAATTCCAGCAGTAGTTACTGAATTACCCCTTCAGGTCACTCTATCAAGTCTGGTGGTAAGGTCTCATTATAACTAACAAAACGAACCCAAACTCGGCACACCTAGTCCTACAAGTCTAGGAGTTCCACTTGTAATCACCGAACTACACTTTCAGGTCACTCCATCAAGTCCAGTGGTAAGGTCTCATCATAACCTACAAAACGAACCCAAACTCGGCACACCTAGTTCTACCAGTCTAGGAGTTCCAGTTGCAATCACCGATTTACACCTTCAGGTCACTCCATCAAGTCCGGAGGTATGGACTCGTCATAACTAACAAAACGGAGCCCAAATTCGCCACCTCTAGTTTTACTCTGCAAGAAGTTCAAATAGCGGTCACGAAAGTACACCTTCAGGTCACGCCATCAAGTCCGGAGGTAAGGTCTCATCATAACCAACAAAACGAGCCCAAACTCGGCACACCTAGTTCCGCTCGTCTAGGAGTTGCAGTAGTAGGTAAGTTTATATATTCTACTTATTTTTAGCTAAATAAAAAAATGTGAGTATAAAAATAATAATTTTATCACTTGTCAAGTACTTATGTTTCCAATTTGTTTTTTTCTAATATTTTGTGTATGTACAGCGATCTTTTCAGAATGAGCCGCTGCAAACAGGCGACACAGTGTCCACTCACGACGGCGGCCGAGCGCGGACTGTGGTTTCATCTAAATCTTTGTACAATAAATCAAAGCAGGCACCAACAATAAAATAGCCCTTATTGCAATAGATTATGATTCATCCGTATTACCAAAATATGTGAAAAAATGTGCATCAGTTTTTATTTTTTTTACGACTATTTGTGACATTTTGTTAAAAAATAAACCCAGGGTTTTTTAATTGAATATGTCTGTCATCTTATAGTATTTTTTAAATTTTTTAAATTTGTTGATAATAGACCAAAACATGTACCGAAACACAAGCCGGTATCGTTAATTTTGTAGAAAATGGCAACGAAAGTTCGTTTTTACAATATAAAAAACTACTATTTTCAACAAAAGTGTTACAGATGTTTGCAGATGAAGAACCAATCTATACATGTTAGTTTTTACTTATATTTGATTTGGTTTAGTTTTGTCACAAAATGTACCGAAAAACACCCTAATTTTGGTTGATTTGAAAACGCGTCCTTAAGTGATTAAGTGATGGCTTGGTACTTGTTAGTTGTTGGTGCATGGGTGACTTGGAATTTACTATCCGTGCGAATATTTTTAGTCAGATTGGATTAGAGACACATTACAACTTCTTCACTGTCTTTGGTATTCAGGCGTTGTTCTGCAGGTGGCACGAGATGTCTTCGGAAAAAGTATCTTCATTACGAAGAACTTTTTAACCCAAGCAAAGGGGATGTGTAACACGAAAATGTTCGTATACTTCATTTTAGCATATTTATGTTATTACATTCGATGAACGGACATCAGTGCGCCATCTAACGTCATTAGTCCGAAGTAACTAGAAACGTATATTGACGAATCGAGCTAGCTAATTGCATGCAATTGACCTTTCGTGTTAGTTCGAAATCCTACCACGGATCGACGATGGCGCGTAGCCCAAGGGAGGCCTAGTTTTTTTTGGGGAGTTAGCCGTTGTAATGATCGGACACGCACACATATAATTTTTGAATCGAAACGCCGGAACATGAATTTAAAGTGACGAGTACTTGGGCGTACGGCCCCTTAAACCCAATGTCTACAGGCGGTTTAATGTGTTGAAACACATCATCCCATAAATTGGATCCTTAGTCCTTACTTTGAGTATGGTCCATTATAAGTTTAACTATGTGAACGAGGCGAGGCAGCTTCAACTAGTGGCTATATTGGGACTGGGCGGCCTGGAGACCGCGACCGGAGTACACCTGGAGGACATCTGCTACCTCACTGCTTCGCGGGATTAACCATAAACAGTGTAATATTGTGTAATCCACCAGGTTAGTCAAAAACCTCAGTTCCCAGGGTATTTTAAAGTGACAACTTGATATTTGGAGCTATCCGTATGAACTTTAGAAGGAAATAAACTACCTTTTGTCTGTATATGTATCTTTGAATTTTCATTTACTAATCATCCAACTACAGGCGCCCTGGGATATTTTTATTTTGATACTCGAGTTTTTTAACTCTCCGATGACCGTAGCCGGTGAGTAACGCCCTAAAAAGTGTTTTAGTTTTTAGCGCATTCATTGTACTTCTACGAGGTACAGCGTCCAATGGAGTAATAATACACGTTTCTTTATTGTTACGTCTCCAGGATCCACGCTGAACTAATTCGCCATCAATGTAACTGTCTACTGTGCCTGGAGGGGTGTAAGAATTTCTAGAAGAAATGCTTTTTCTTAGAAAATTCTGTAACAAAACGCATGTTATTGTGACTTTAGAAGCTTTAACTTCGTCAAGGGGTATACTGCTTTTAAAAATTCTAAATTTGCTGGACAGAATACCAAAAGTATTTTCTACGAATACACGAGAGCGAGACAGTTCCTGATTAAATATTCTCTCTGGAGTAGGTACCCAGTGCATGATGTCCAGCAAATGGCTTCATGATTCGTGTACTCAGTGCAAATGCCGAATCGGCTAAAAATACATAGGGCAAATTATTGGTACCATTATGAGGTGGTAAATTTATGCTATTTGTTTCAATTTTATGTCGTAAAACACTTTGATTATATACTCCTGCGTCACTTATTCGCCCAGGGCAACCTATATCTACAAACATGTAACAATAGTCACTATCAACTAGCGCTAAAAGCACAATACTGAAATGCCCTTTATAATTAAAGTATTCGGAGGCAGTATGCGGTGGCGGTAGAATAATAATATGTTTTCCGTTTAAAGTGCCGATACAGTTGGGGAAACTAAAACCTTCTGCTTTCGACAACCACTCGTCCTTGGTTGTTGGAATCTGAAAAAATGCACAATAGAGTTAGTCAAATTTAGCAGTAGCCAAACATATGTATGAGAAGAAAAAAAACGGTCACATATATATATATATATTTTATATTAAAAATATATTTTACGTAGTAGAGCCACGCTGCAGTTATATTAGGTGTATAGTTGTAGCACGAATGGGTCGGCTCGACCGGGAAAGGACCACGCTCTCACAGAATACCAGTGTAAAATAGTAGCTTAATGCTGCTGTGTTTCTTGCTTGTGTATTGTGAGTGTAGAGAACCGGAAACTCTTTTTACAGGAAACGACGCATTCCATCTTAGTCCTCACGGGTGACAACGCATCTGCATTTTGATCCGTAATCGAGCATAGATGTAGACGTCTAAGGGCCACAGCAACCACTTACCATCTGGTGGACTGTGTGCTTGTTTGTCACCCTATCCTATAAAACATAAATAAAATTTAAATAAACATTATTTTGTTCCAGATCAAAGACATGGAGGAATATATAAGCATTGATGAATTTGATTGTGGGGAAAGTAGCAGTACTACTGAAGTGCAAAATAGCGAAGCAGGAAACAGTGCCTCACAAGCTACTTTAGAGAACAGTAACCCTGCTACTAAATTTAAAGTGGTACAGAAACGTCGAGCGAAAAACCCGCCGGAATTACAGGAAGCCAGCAAGCAGATGAGCGCTGCATTCAATACATTAAATAGTGTGTTGCAAACCAAGAAAAATACAGCAGATAAAGAAAACGATGACGCTGATTTGTTTTGTAAACTTCTGGCAAAACAGCTCAAGGATTTCCCTAAAGACGAAAGAGAAGAGATAATGTACGAAATTAAATAAACGTCGTCACTGCCGCGGCCGAGACTTTCAACCCATTATTTCGCCTTCTATTTACAATCGCAGTTCATCAGCACACAGCTCTTCGTACTTGCATGAATCGCTCCCACGAAACATTATTTCTCCGGACTCACCCATTTTTCAACAGTCTTCTTTGTATTGATTAAAACTACTGTAGCGGCGCTGTCGTCGCGCCACAAGCGAAATACACCGAAGCCTAAATCACGCTATCAACATTCCGAATCATAGACAGTATATATAGAACTTCTCCGAACTATCACTAGGAGTGTTGGCCGCTCCCCGGGCAGAACACCTTGCCCGGCGGGAGATCTCCCCTTTTCCTTTCACGGCCACAGTATGAACTATCACACGGAGTGTTGGCCGCTCCCCGGGCAGAACACCTTGCCCGGCGGGAGATCTCCCCTTTTCCTTCCACGGCCACAGTGGTGACCCCGACGTGATCTGAACACGCAACCGACAACCTTCGGAAACTTCAAGCTTCATCATCGTCATAGAATACCCCCCCTATTCGCTCCCGAGCAGATATCGTCTGCAGTCTTCATATCCTGCAAGCCATCTAGCTTCACAAGGTTCATCGCAGCATTGGAATAATAATGCTTCCTGTTCCTTCAAGCTACTCTCTGCGCTATACAGTGTTCGGCACGGCTCTGAGCCTTACTGCTCGCCTCTGCTTCACGGCACTCTCGCAGATTACTTGCCTTCTTCTCGACTCACCGCAGACTACAAGGCAATCCACTGGCACTTGCACATTCGTCGGCAACAAGGCTGCACTAACGACCTCCGGTCTGAGCAGGGGGGTGATGTAGCGGCGCTGTCGTCGCGCCACAAGCGAAATACACCGAAGTCTAAATCACGCTATCAACATTCCGAATCATAGACAGTATATATAGAACTTCTCCGAACTATCACTAGGAGTGTTGGCCGCTCCCCGGGCAGAACACCTTGCCCGGCGGGAGATCTCCCCTTTTCCTTTCACGGCCACAGTATGAACTATCACACGGAGTGTTGGCCGCTCCCCGGGCAGAACACCTTGCCCGGCGGGAGATCTCCCCTTTTCCTTCCACGGCCACAGTGGTGACCCCGACGTGATCTGAACACGCAACCGACAACCTTCGGAAACTTCAAGCTTCATCATCGTCATAGAATACCCCACCTATTCGCTCCCGAGCAGATATCGTCTGCAGTCTTCATATCCTGCAAGCCATCTAGCTTCACAAGGTTCATCGCAGCATTGGAATAATAATGCTTCCTGTTCCTTCAAGCTACTCTCTGCGCTATACAGTGTTCGGCACGGCTCTGAGCCTTACTGCTCGCCTCTGCTTCACGGCACTCTCGCAGATTACTTGCCTTCTTCTCGACTCACCGCAGACTACAAGGCAATCCACTGGCACTTGCACATTCGTCGGCAACAAGGCTGCACTAACGACCTCCGGTCTGAGCAGGGGGGTGATGTAGCGGCGCTGTCGTCGCGCCACAAGCGAAATACACCGAAGCCTAAATCACGCTATCAACATTCCGAATCATAGACAGTATATATAGAACTTCTCCGAACTATCACTAGGAGTGTTGGCCGCTTCCGGGCCTGAACACCTGGCCCGGCGGGAGATCTCCCCCTTCCCTTTCACGGCCACACTACTTTTACAGATTTTATCGCGTTTATTTTACTTTTAATTACTATTATTTTTAATTCTCGACGTTTCGGGCGATTTCCAGCACCCATGGTCACGGGGGACTGAGATGACTGACGTCCCGATGTCATTGTTAAACCCGGAGTACCTTCAGCTTTTTTAATTATTGTTTATGATATGTTATTTAAAAAAGCTGAAAAAACTCAGAGCTCAGACTATTAGCCAGAAAAGGAGTCCTTCTATCTAGATGTAAAATTATGTTTTGTATCTGTAGATATATTATACCTTGGTTTTTAAAATGCTCAAATATGAAAAATATATATTTATTTATGATTTATATAAAGAATAAAACTAAATTTATGGATTTTATCGCGTTTATTTCATTACTTTTACTTATTTTTAATTCCTATCTATTGTGGAAGGAAGAGTTCTACAAGCAAGTAGATGGTGTGGCGATGGGCTCACCTGTATCTCCCATAGTAGCCGACATATTTATGGAGGACTTCGAGGAGAAAGCCCTTCTTACTGCTTCTGTAAATCCAAGATTCTATAAGCGGTACGTAGACGACACTTTCACAAATTTACCATCTGACATAGTAACTGCATTTTTAAACGACCTTAACTCTATAAACTCTAAAATACAATTCACCAAGGATGATACGCGAGGCTATTGAAATTAAAAAACATCCAAATTTCAATAGAGAAGATGGATGAGTGCTGCCACCTGCTTGGGATCCTATAATTAACAAAATTAAACCCAAACCTAAGTATAACGCTGCAAGATTTCATGATACTATAAGCTCGTTTTGCGTAAATCGAACTAAAAATGAATATTCAAAAAACTGAAGGTAGCCGGACTATGACACTGGGACGTCAAACAACTCAGTCCCCCCCGTTACCATGGGTAATAGTAAAAGTAATGAAATAAACGCGATACAATCCGTAAATTTAGTTTTATTCAATGTGTAGTGTTCGCGTAAATTTAAGAAATCATTATATAAAGAACTTTATAATAGCACCTGATAATAATGGATTATTATTTGCTCTTTAGTAATATTAAAGTCACTATGGGGTAAACAATCTATCTGATCTGTTATGTAAACATTTTTACGACATTGTGTACATAATTGGATTTTACTGCGCATAATTGTAAAATATGTAATATAAAAAATATAATAATAAATAAAAATGATGATGAGATGTCCGATATATAGAATGTCATATTTCGCACAATGCACACTTAATCCATATCAAATTATTTATAAGGAATAAAAGTAGCGCCTGAAATTTTATTAACTGTTAATATATTTTTAAGTTTTTGTCTCTGAGATTATTTGGGCGCAAATTATATTTTACACACTTTAATAATAATTGATTGCTTAAATAAGATCATATATTCAATATTAATAACAAAAACTCGAAACATAAATTATTATATAGCCGGAAACATTTAGTTATTTTTTTAAATTTGAATTAGGCATTGGAAGGTCTGTCAGTACAAGCAGTTTTTATTTTGATATTGACTATCTTTTTTTTAGTGTTGGAGAGCTGTTGTAACGTGTTCCTCGTCGAATTTTGTCACAGTGGCCAGTCTCAATGAATATTAATCTTCTGCGCCGGGCGATGTTGATGTATAGATATATCAGAATAAGATATTGAAGTACAAGGTATAAACAACAATTGTCTTAATAACATGCAGAGAAAACTTTGAACCCTTGTCCAATCGTATTGCACCCATGGAGAAAAAGATTGGGAATAGTTAAGTTTACATTACAGCGGAGCTTCTGAAAGCGTGTGGAAAACCGGTACTTGAAGTCCTTTAGAGGCTCTTTAATTCCGTCCTCCATGGTGACACTACTCCGGAGGCGTGGAGCAAAAGTGCGGTGGTTTTGTTCTTCAAGAAAGGTGACAACGCCATCTTGAAGAACTACAGACCGATATCCCATCTGAGCCGCATCTACGTGCTGTTTTCGAGAGTCATTACGAAACGTCTCGCACGCAGACTCTACGACTTCCAGCCTCCCGAACAAGCCGGTTTCCGAAAAGGCTTTAGTACCATAGACCACACACATACCTTTCGGCAAATTGTATAGAAGTCCGAAGAGTACAATCTGCCACTTTGTCTGGCGTATGTATACTATGAGAAAGCCTGCCTCGAAATTTGGGCGGTGCTACAGTCTCTTCAGCGGTGCCAAGTTGACTGTCGGTATATCGAAGTACTGAAGTGTTTGTACAGTTGGGCTACGATGGCTTGCCTCCCAACGGATAGGTCTTAAGATGAACATGGACAAAACAAAGATCATGTTTAATGTCCATGTCACACCTATGCCGGTAGTTGTTGGGAGCACTAAGCTCGAAGTTGTTGATGAGTACGTTTACCTGGGACAAATAGTCCGACTAGGTAAGTCCAACTTCGACCGAGGTCGAAAAGTTCGAAAGAGGTCAATCGACGGATTCAACTCGGCTGGGCAGCGTTCGGTAAATTACGACACATCTTCTCGTCAGGTATACCTCAAAACCTGAAAACTAAACAACAAAACCTGATAACCTACTGAACCGAGACGTGGTCCTTCACTGCTGGTCGTATGAGGACACTCAAAGTCGCTCAGCGAGCTATGGAGAGGGCTATGCTCGGAGTTTCTCTGCGTGATAAACTTAGAAATGAGGATATCCGCAGTAGAACCGGAGTGACCGACATAGCCCAACGGATTAGTAAGCCGAAGTGGCAATGGGCCGGCCATATTGCTCGAAGAACCGACAACCGTTGGGGAAAAAAGGTTCTCGAGTGGCAGCCTCGTTCCGGTAGGAAAAGTGTAGGGCGACCCCCCACTAGATGGAGTGACGACCTGGTAAGACATGCGGGAAGTCGATGGATGCAGGTGGCTCAGGACCGTGCTTTGTGGCATACCTTGGGGGAGGCCTATGTTCAGCAGTGGACTTGTGAAGGGCTGTAATGATGATGATGATGATGAAGTTTGCATTAAGAAAGAATGCTTTCTGCATTAATAAATGTAATATTCATAAATTTCTAAAACATAAAATTACATTAAAAAAAATCATACTGAATATGTCAAACACATAATGTTTGCCAAAAAGTGTCGAAAAAAGTGGTCAAACTGAGTAGATTTCAAATGGTATATAACTACTGTGCGTAGATATATTACAGATAGTTAAATAGTGTGTGATTTTAAAATATTGCTAACAAATAATTACTAAAAAATACTGCCTCATTGGTCTAGAAATCCGAAATACCCGGTTGGAGCCAAAATCAGTTACCGGCTTTTTCTGTCAAGAAATGATCAGCCTTGAGTCAGGAATTTCTCGATGTCCCACGCCCGTACCTTGAAAAGCACG